TTTGATGGTTTGGCATGGTGCGCCAGTTAGACAGGGTAGGGTGCGCCCGGGGCTATAACTCGGCTCAAAATGGTCAAATCAAGTTCCAAACTGACTTTTAGCCTTAAAACAATGACCTCACTCATTTATCAGAAAACTGGATCAAAAAATTCGCATTTTCCCAATTTTCAGTTTTTACCGGTCCATACCGGTGCTCACCGGTTAATGATAAAATTTGCTCAAAAAAGGCTTCTAGGCATTCAAATCGTCTAGAAAATGATTTTTCATGAATAAAAAGTGGAAAAAGTTAACTTTTTGATGGTTTGGCATGGTGCGCCAGTTGGACTGGGTAGGGTGCGCCCGGGGCTATAACTCGGCTCAAAATGGTCAAATCAAGTTCCAAACTGACTTTTAGCCTTAAAACAATGACCTCACTCATTTATCAGAAGACTGGATCAAAAAAATTCGCATTTTTCCCAATTTTTCAGTTTTTACTGGTCCATACCGGTGCTCACCGGTTAATGATAAAATTTGCTCAAAAAGGCTTCTTGGCATTCAAATCGTCTAGAAAAATGATTTTTTCATGAATAAAAAAAGTGGAAAAAGTTAACTTTTTGATGGTTTGGCATGGTGCGCCAGTTGGACTGGGTAGGGTGCGCCTGGGGCTATAACTCGGCTCAAAATGGTCAAATCAAGTTCCAAACTGACTTTTAGCCTTAAAACAATGACCTCACTCATTTATCAGAAAACTGGATCAAAAAATTCGCATTTTCCCAATTTCCAGTTTTTACCGGTCCGTACCGGTGCTCACCGGTTAATGATAAAATTTGCTCAAAAAAGGCTTCTAGGCATTCAAATCGTCTAGAAAATGATTTTTCATGAATAAAAAGTGGAAAAAGTTAACTTTTTGATGGTTTGGCATGGTGCGCCAGTTGGACTGGGTAGGGTGCGCCCGGGGCTATAACTCGGCTCAAAATGGTCAAATCAAGTTCCAAACTGACTTTTAGCCTTAAAACAATGACCTCACTCATTTATCAGAAAACTGGATCAAAAAATTCGCATTTTCCCAATTTTCAGTTTTTACCGGTCCATACCGGTGCTCACCGGTTAATGATAAAATTTGCTCAAAAAAGGCTTCTAGGCATTCAAATCGTCTAGAAAAATGATTTTTTTCATGAATAAAAAAAGTGGAAAAAGTTAACTTTTTGATGGTTTGGCATGGTGCGCCAGTTGGACTGGGTAGGGTGCGCCCGGGGCTATAACTCGGCTCAAAATGGTCAAATCAAGTTCCAAACTGACTTTTAGCCTTAAAACAATGACCTCACTCATTTATCAGAAGACTGGATCAAAAAATTCGCATTTTCCCAATTTTCAGTTTTTACCGGTCCATACCGGTGCTCACCGGTTAATGATAAAATTTGCTCAAAAAAGGCTTCTTGGCATTCAAATCGTCTAGAAAATGATTTTTCATGAATAAAAAGTGGAAAAAGTTAACTTTTTGATGGTTTGGCATGGTGCGCCAGTTGGACTGGGTAGGGTGCGCCCGGGGCTATAACTCGGCTCAAAATGGTCAAATCAAGTTCCAAACTGACTTTTTAGCCTTAAAACAATGACCTCACTCATTTATCAGAAAAACTGGATCAAAAAAATTCGCATTTTTCCCAATTTTCAGTTTTTTTACCGGTCCATACCGGTGCTCACCGGTTAATGATAAAATTTGCTCAAAAAAAGGCTTCTAGGCATTCAAATCGTCTAGAAAATGATTTTTTTCATGAATAAAAAAAGTGGAAAAAAAGTTAACTTTTTGATGGTTTGGCATGGTGCGCCAGTTGGACTGGGTAGGGTGCGCCCGGGGCTATAACTCGGCTCAAAATGGTCAAATCAAGTTCCAAACTGACTTTTAGCCTTAAAACAATGACCTCACTCATTTATCAGAAAACTGGATCAAAAAATTCGCATTTTCCCAATTTCCAGTTTTTACCGGTCCGTACCGGTGCTCACCGGTTAATGATAAAATTTGCTCAAAAAAGGCTTCTAGGCATTCAAATCGTCTAGAAAAATGATTTTTTTCATGAATAAAAAAAGTGGAAAAAGTTAACTTTTTGATGGTTTGGCATGGTGCGCCAGTTGGACTGGGTAGGGTGCGCCCGGGGCTATAACTCGGCTCAAAATGGTCAAATCAAGTTCCAAACTGACTTTTAGCCTTAAAACAATGACCTCACTCATTTATCAGAAAACTGGATCAAAAAATTCGCATTTTCCCAATTTTCAGTTTTTACCGGTCCATACCGGTGCTCACCGGTTAATGATAAAATTTGCTCAAAAAAGGCTTCTAGGCATTCAAATCGTCTAGAAAAATGATTTTTTTCATGAATAAAAAAAGTGGAAAAAAAGTTAACTTTTTGATGGTTTGGCATGGTGCGCCAGTTGGACTGGGTAGGGTGCGCCCGGGGGCTATAACTCGGCTCAAAATGGTCAAATCAAGTTCCAAACTGACTTTTTAGCCTTAAAACAATGACCTCACTCATTTATCAGAAAACTGGATCAAAAAAATTCGCATTTTCCCAATTTTCAGTTTTTTTACCGGTGTAGTGAAGAGACGGAGTAATTAAATTAAAAACTAGGAGAAGGAGAAAATTATAAAATAAAAAGATAATAATTTAACTTAATTCAAATAAGAGTCAAAATAGGCGCGGAGTGAAAGTATGAATTGAATAAGAATTTTAAAAAAAGTTTTGAAGCAAAGGAGTGATTAATACTAGTAAAAGAAATAAGTTAAAAAAAAGAAAAAAGGAGAAAGGAGATCAAAAGAACAAAATTTAGGAGTTACTGGTCAAATCGAGCGGCAAGTGTACAGGGACACTGCTGAGGGCGGGAGAAAACACGCCATGACGCACCACGCAACTCGCTGGCGGATTTCTTGGTGGCCTAAAATTGGCTCGCGGCGAGGGGCTCAATCGTTTTCTTCTGGCCATCCCAAAAAAAAAATCGGGGATGATTTAGCCTTTATTTGTATTGTATTTTGTTGGCATAACCTTGTTTTATTTGTTTGTTTGTTAAACTAACTTGTCAAAGGAGTAAAAAGTTTTTATGTGCAAATGTTATGAGATCCTACCCAAAAGAGTAAAATCTCGGGAAATATCTTGTGAAGATCTTGTTGTCGTCCTCGGAAGTCAGCTTGATTCATCTGGAGACTGAACGTCGGCATTTCACGCCGACGAGTTGGGGGCCGAACCGTTGCTCTGGAGTAGGATCCTGAACATATTGTGTAACAAAGGAGAACATAGACGCCTTTCAAAAAATTAAAACAAAGGAGAAAACTCAACGCCAGAGGAGATTGAATAGGAGTTTCGACGTTGTGCGCGCGAGGGCCAGTCGTAGCAAAAGATCTCCAACCTAAAAATATGTCAAAATGAGAATTGCAGGATGTCAAGCGTGTCCAACGTGTCCAATGGCAGCGAACAGCCATCAACGGAAGGCGATCGGAGGAGTGATGGGTCCAAGGGAGAACCGACGGAAGAAGCGACGCCGAGAGAGCCAAGAGCAGGAGGCGAAAATCGGGAGCAGGCCCAGGTAGGGCAAGGCGACGGTGGAGAACCTGAAAAGGAAGGAGTAGTCTTTGCACTGACGGAAATGAAGAAAGCTTTTGAGGAGTTAGTGGAAAAACATTTCAAAAATAGGGGCAGCATTGCTGATAGGAAGGAAAGCTTCAATGAGATGTTTGAAATTGTGAAAAACAAGCTAAAGGAGAAAAGTGAGAACTTGCAGGAGCATCAAAAAGAGCGAAGCAACAGTGACGGAGAAGAAAATTTTGAGGAAGGTGAGTTCGGAAGAACAAGCAGGAGTTATAAAAGACAAGAAAAAGGCGTCAGACAAGGAGGAAGTATTCAGAGCTCGACTATATCGAGGAGGATGACATCGAAGAACAGGAGGAGCTCACGGAGAGAGGAGAGGACGGAATCAAAGGAGCGGTCGAGATCAACGTCGACTGCAGGAATGGTTGGGCGGAGATGCCGATCGAACAAGAGGAATACCGGTACGTTTGAGAATACTTTTAACCGGAATATGAATAGAGAGTCCTCGGAGGTTCCAAGGGCAAGTCCTAACTCAAACAGGGGGTTAAGTGAGGTAGTGCAGCTATTGGTGGATCACCAAACCTTGTCGGATAGAAGGTGGATGGAACAGGAGCGTAGAAACCTGATAAAAGAACCAGCGCCATATGACAAAAAGAGTTAGAAGCGACAGGAAGAACTTTTGAGGAATTCGTTAGAGAATTCAAAGCTAAGTACGGAGGTCCGAATGAATGTTTGAGCGAAAAAGACAAAATTACGATTTTATATCAAAAACTGAGAGGAGAGCTGAGAAGAACACTGGAGAGCTTGCCTGAGTACATAAAAGATGAGGGGCTTGAGGAAGTTTTACAAGAGTTGCAGTGGCATGTAGGAGAAAACAAAACGTCCTCAACTGTTGACAAAATGGAAGCGATTTTCAACTTGAGACAGCGGAACTTCTCATCGGTGGAAGAGACCTGCCAAGCAGTAGAAAAGTTAATAAGGCAGGACCAAGGAGATAGAAAAAGATGCGACGAGGAGCGAGCAGGAGCTTTGTGCATGGTGATGGGAGACAAATGGCCAACGACGGAAGTCACCATGATAAGAAGCGCCATGGACGGAGCTAGGCCAGGAGAAGCCTACAATGAGGCTAGGAGATGTGCGATCCATCTGGAAAAGACAAAGGAAGCGCAAAGGAGAAGCACAGCGACATGGAGCGCAACAGGAAACAGACGTCAAGAAGAACGAGCGACGAGGAGTTTCAGCGAGCGCGAACGACTACGGAATGAAGGAGCGTGCTACAGGTGTGGACAACAAGGACATGTCATCGCGAGATGCCCAAGAAGAAGCGGGTACAACACAGAAGATAGAAGCAGAAGAGGCGACGACCGCCAGACAAGGGATGACAGAAGGAACAACTACCGATCGGAAGGGGGAGCTTTCAACAGAACGTTTGGAGGGTTCTCAGGAAACCAGAGGAATGAGCAGAGGAGATACAACAACTTCAGCAACGGACAGAGATTCAGGGACAGCAGCCGAGCACCACCCAGAGGGGGAAGGAACCCCATGGGAGAGCCAGGAGTGACTCGCGGAGTAAGACTAGCGCAGGTAGTCGACACAACCGGCCCGGTGGCGCGCCGAACCACTGCCTCGCCGACAGAAGAAGTCCGGTTAGACAGACACAGGACTTCAGCAATCATCGACTCAGGTGCACAAGTGTCAATGATGCCAGAAAGTTTTTTTCCGAGCGAGGAGAGGTTCCCGGACGGGAGATGAAGACGCGCAGTGAGCCTAAGATAGGATTAGTAGGAGTGAACAATTCTAAATTAAAAGTCATAGGAGAAGTATTAGCCAAGGTGTTCTTTTACAGGTTTAATGTTGAAATAGGAGTCCCAATGTTTGTAGTAGAAGGAAATGAGGAGCTTATTTTAGGAATGAATGTCATAGAAGCCATGAAAGAACATCATGGAGTGAATCTAATTAGTATAGAAAAAGGAAAAAACAAAGTGAAATTGTTAGAAAAGGTGATCTTGAAACCAGGAGAAGAAAAATTGGTCAAAATCAAGGGGGCGCCGGTAGGCACGGGTGCTCTATGGGGATCTGACTCAGGAGTCCTGGACCAAATAGTGACAACTAAAGAAGGAGAAGTATCGGAAATTACTTTGAGTAATACGAGTAAAGATATAAGAATTTGGAAACCTAATCAAGAACTAGGAGAAATTGAACCAGTAAGAATTACTAGTATTCAAGGCGAAGAAAACTTGATGGAGTTCGAACAGATGTGGAGCGGAGAGCAAGTAGGAGAAATCTTAACTCACTTGGAAGAGGTCAGAGGTGCAGCTTTGCCAAGGGACGTGGAAGGACTGGTGAAGGCGTTCGCAGATGTCTTTGCGAAGGACGAACTGGACCTGAAACAAACAAGAATGTTTAATCATGAAATCGAAATGATAGACCCAACGCCTATAAGACAAAAAACTAGACACGTACCACTGGGGTTACGCAAGGAGTTTAGGAAAACTATTGATAATATGTTAGAAAAAGGAGTAATTGAGTCAAGTAAGTCACCATGGGCCTCGCCAGTAGTCTTAGTAAGGAAAAAAGATGGCACCATCAGAATATGCATAGATTTTAGGGAGGTGAATAAAAAAATAAAGCAAGATTCCTATCCGTTACCTAGGATGGAAGGAATTCTGCAGGAGTTAGGCGGTAGAAAATTTTTCTCAACCCTAGATATGCTATCAGGATATTGGCAGATACCACTGACTGAAGGAGCGAAGGAGAAAACAGCATTTACGTCATCAGAAGGTTTATTTCAATTTAACGTACTACCTTTTGGGTTAGCAACTTCTCCGCCAACGTTTCAGCGAACTATGGAAATTGTATTGGAGGAAGTATTACGAGAAGGAGATGTTCATGTGTACATTGACGATATAATAATAGCCTCTAAAAGTAGAAAGGAGCACTTAGTGACGTTGGAAAAAGTTCTAGAAGCACTAAGGAGATCAGGCTTATCACTCAAAGCGGATAAATGTAAATTGTTGATGGAGAGAGTAGCATTCTTAGGACACGTGGTAGACGCGGAAGGAGTGTCGACCGATCCGGAGAAGATAAGAGCCATCAAAGAGTTTCCTAAGCCATCAAAAAGAGACGAAATGAGATCTTTTCTAGGCTTATGTGCATATTATAGAAAATTCATATTTAAGTTTGGATCTATCTGTAAATGCCTTTACGAAATGACAAGTGAAAAGTCGGAGTTCGAATGGACGACAGAAAGAATAGAAGCTTTTGAAAAAATAAAAGGAGAGTTAGCTAAGGCGCCGGTCCTAGCGCAACCAGATCTGAGAGGAGCAGAATCAGGAGAGAAGCCTTTTATTATATTCACGGACGCTAGCAGAAAAGGGCTAGGAGGAGTATTATGTCAAGAAGGAGAAGATAAAATCTTGCATCCAATTTCTTTTACATCTAGGAGCCTTTCAGCGGCGGAATCAAAATATGCGATTACGGAATTAGAAGCGCTTGCAGTGGTCCACGCCATAAAAAAATTCCACCATTTTATTTTCGGTTTAGGAGCAACAGTACGAACGGACCATCAACCTTTGTTAACATTCTTTAAAAAAGGAGAACTAAGCCCAAAGATAATGCGCTGGGCATTAGAAATTCAACGCTACCAGATAAAAATGGAATACTTGAAAGGAAAGGCAAATGTTGTAGCAGACGCTTTATCGAGAGGTGTAGTTTCGCAAAAAGAGATAAAAACTGAAATAGGAGAACTAGAAGTAGTAGTAGGAGCCGTAACATTGGAGCGAGAAGATTCAGGAGAAAATTGGATAGAGGAGCTAGAAAAGGAACCAGAATGGAAAGAGGTACTAGAAGCTATCAGAGGTAAAAACCAGTCATTTTCTATTAAGCTTCCAGGCGTTGAAAAAGACCTAATGATCCAAAATTTTGAAATAATAAATAAAAAACTATGGATTTGCAATGGCAAGGAAGTAGGAATCCTAGTAGTGCCAGAAAGATTCAGGAGAAACACCTTTAGAAGGTACCATTCAGGAGTTTTTGGACTACATGTAGGGTCCGGAAAAATTCTAACGTTGATGAAGAAAGATGTTTATTGGATAACTATGGCTAAAGACGTAAAATCGTGGACAAAAGAGTGTCAAGGATGTTTTCTGGCGAATCCACATCTACGCTTGACGCCGCCACTAAAGCCAATCATCACGAGTTATCCGCTTCAATTAGTAGGAGTAGACATCGCGGAAGTAGGTTTGAGCCGCGATGGAAATCGCTACATATTAGTTATGATAGACGCTTTCACTAAATGGACGGCAGCTTATCCTATCAAAGACAAATCGGCAAAAACTGTCGCTAAATTAATCATAGAGAGATGGATAGGAGAAGCAGGATTATTCCCTAAAGTTTTACACTCAGATAGAGGGAGAGAATTTGAAAATTCATTGCTAGAGGAGCTAGGTAAACAACTGGGAGTAAAGTTTTCGTCAACTAAAGGCTATAATCCGCGAGAAAACGGAATAACGGAGCGAGTTATAGGAACTATTTTGAGAGCGCTAAAGAAAAGGCAAGGAGATCCGGAAGCTTGGGATGTCGCGTTACCTCTAGTAGTTCAAGCGTACAACGCGACACCTCATGAAGCCACAGGAGAATCACCTTTCTTCTTAATGCATGGTTTCGATAAAGGGTTACCGTTAGAACTAACTCAAGAACGGCCAGGAGTTTGGTTAGCGGAAAATTTGGAGGACTACCGCACTCAAGTGACGTTAGGGCTTCGATTAGCTAGAGAATTAGCGAATGAAAGACTAGAAAAGGAGAGATTAAAAATGAAAAAATATTACGACGCTAAAAATAGAGTGGAAAATAAGGAGTATCCAAAACTAGGAGACAGAGTATTCGTCAAACTACCCGCAGAAAGGAGAACGTCTAAACTTAGAAAGCTTTTGCCGGATATGGCAGGGCCATACAGAGTTATCGAGGCCTCGCAAAATTCGGTATTAGTATCAAAAATAGGGAAAAATGAGGAGCCACTAAGGTTACCTATGGACGGAGTAATCAAAGTTCCACTAGAGTTAGGAGATGAACAAATATCTACAAAAAAACTAGGAGAGAACCTCCGAGAAAAAAAGAAACTAAAAAAATATATAAAATATAATAATAGTAAAATAAACCTTTTTTTCAGAGAAGTTGATCTTTTGGACTTCGTCAAGACGTCCTACGGTTGTGAGAGAGGAGCAGTGTCCATCGATATGGACCGGGAGCCCCTTTGGTCGTTCTGCCAAGGAGGCCACACGCTGGCCGATTACGTGGCAAATGCTGGAGACGAAGGGATCCGACCTGTAAACAATCCAAGGCAATTAGCAAACTGCATGACGATATTGGCTAACAAAGCGATAGACGTGCGAGAAAGATGGAGATCCATGGAACATATGAACGACGAAATCACGACGATACCAATATTGTGTGAATCGTTTGCGCGATTTGCCTACGGATGTGAGCGGTGGAAAACGGTACTCAAGAACCTGGAGATGTGTGAGAATAAATTAAAAGGGAGACAGCTCTGGATGGTGCTAAAAGAAGCGAAGCGAATGGGAGAACCGGCAGCAAGATGGAGAATCCCACCAAAAGAACCTAAGCGAGGAACCATTTTATATCCAGTGCGATATGGAAGTCCGAAACTATTTCATCATACGTGGTACGAACTGCGAAACATAAGTTCTCTGGAGGAGATTGTGAGAAAAGTGGAGGCGATGAGAAGGGATCCTGTCAAGCCGGACTTGATAGTCCTTCTGATAGACGACTCGATGACGGATTTGATCGCATACGGGAACAAACTATTGGAGAAGGCAGCAGAATGGAGGCAAGAAGGAGTAACTTTGGTACTCGCAGCAGGCTTTCCAGTCGAGGGGCGATACCGAAACGTGTTTCGCTTCGGACAAGAACTCCAAAGAGAGTGGACACGAGAAACAGCTTGGTTCCCGGACAATGAGGAGGCGCAAGCAGTGCGGCAATTTGGATGCGGACTAGCAGGAGGAGTGCGAACACAACTACAAGGAGGGAGAGTGGAAGTCAGACAAGTCACACTACTGTTCGAGATGCTGGACAGAAACCTGAACGAAAAAGAGTTGCCGAGATGCGATCTAAAAGCACGCCAAGGAGAAAGGTTGGTTAATATAAATAAACGGCTGGGACAGCCTGTTAGCGGAGAGGGGCATGTAGTGAAGAGACGGAGTAATTAAATTAAAAAAACTAGGAGAAGGAGAAAAATTATAAAATAAAAAAAGATAATAATTTAACTTAATTCAAATAAGAGTCAAAATAGGCGCGGAGTGAAAGTATGAATTGAATAAGAATTTTAAAAAAAGTTTTGAAGCAAAGGAGTGATTAATACTAGTAAAAGAAATAAGTTAAAAAAAAAAAAAGGAGAAAGGAGATCAAAAGAACAAAATTTAGGAGTTACTGGTCAAATCGAGCGGCAAGTGTACAGGGACACTGCTGAGGGCGGGAGAAAACACGCCATGACGCACTACGCAACTCGCTGGCGGATTCTTGGTGGCCTAAATTGGCTCGCGGCGGCGGGCTCAATCGTTTTCTTCTGGCTATCCCAAAAATCGGGGATGATTTAGCCTTTATTTGTATTGTATTTTGTTGGCATAACCTTGTTTTATTTGTTTGTTTGTTAAACTAACTTGTCAAAGGAGTAAAAAGTTTTTATGTGCAAATGTTATGAGATCCTACCCAAAAGAGTAAAATCTCGGGAAATATCTTGTGAAGATCTTGTTGTCGTCCTCGGAAGTCAGCTTGATTCATCTGGAGACTGAACGTCGGCATTTCACGCCGACGAGTCCGGTCCATACCGGTGCTCACCGGTTAATGATAAAATTTGCTCAAAAAAGGCTTCTAGGCATTCAAATCGTCTAGAAAATGATTTTTCATGAATAAAAAGTGGAAAAAGTTAACTTTTTGATGGTTTGGCATGGTGCGCCAGTTAGACAGGGTAGGGTGCGCCCGGGGCTATAACTCGGCTCAAAATGGTCAAATCAAGTTCCAAACTGACTTTTAGCCTTAAAACAATGACCTCACTCATTTATCAGAAAACTGGATCAAAAAATTCGCATTTTCCCAATTTCCAGTTTTTACCGGTCCATACCGGTGCTCACCGGTTAATGATAAAATTTGCTCAAAAAAAGGCTTCTAGGCATTCAAATCGTCTAGAAAAATGATTTTTCATGAATAAAAAAAGTGGAAAAAGTTAACTTTTT